ATCTTTGAAGATACCATTAGCTTCAATGTCATGGAGGGTTTTGCAACTTTGTCTTCAATGTACCTTATGGATTCAGGTCTGATGTTGAAGTCTTCAATCCATTTTGATCTTAATTTTGTACACGGTGTTAGGCAGAGATCTAAGCCCATTTTTTTGCATGTAGCCATCCAGTTTTGCCAGCACTATTTGTTAAAGAGGCTTTCCTTATTCCACTTCACATTTCTTGCTCCTTTATCAAAGATTAGATGATTAGATTAGTGATAGGAGAATCCTCCCAGGATGGGAGAAGCATGCTGAAAGTAGACTACAGATCGAACATGATTGTCAATCAATGCCTCTTTTGAAAACCAAAGCACTGAAAAGGAGAGAGAGAACAAAAGGAAATGCCCTGCCACAGAGGCAGGGTGGGGGGGAGGGGCAATGGGGGGGGAAGGGATACTGGGATCCATGGTGGTGGAAATTGGGCACTGGTGGAGGGATGGGTACTTGATCACTGTATAATTGAAACTCTATCACAAACATTTGTAAGTCTACAACTGTACCTCATGGTGTTTTACTAATAGAAATTTTTTAAAAATCAGAATTTCAGAAAGCAACAGTTAATTTTGAATATGCTAAAACAGTTGGCATGAGAGCAGATGTCAGAGCATTAAAAAGTGACAGGGGCAGAGAGAGATTGAGAGAGAGAGAGAGAGAGAGAGAGAGAGAGAAAGAGAGAGAGCTCTCCAGGGTGGATGCTCAGCTCAGCATGCAGCGACCCCAGACTTGATCTCCAGAACCTCATGTCTCCTTAGTGCCACCAGAAAGAGTCGGAGTTACAGCCCCTCTTCTTCTAAGTTCTTTTTTTCACCTTCTCCTCTTTCCTGTAAAACCCTTAGCAGCATGAGCACTGCTGCTCAGTTAACAAAATTCAGTTTACTTAGCTTTGCTACAGACCTTGATAAATCGCATAACCCCCTTCAGGTTTTTCTTGGTTTGATTTTTGCTTTGGGGCCACCCCCGGTGGTGCTCAGGGATTACTCCTGTCTCTGCACTCAGGAATCACTCCTGGCGGGGGCTCAGGGAACCATATGGGATGCTGGGGATTGAAGCCGATTGGCTGTGTGCAAGACAAGTGCCTTAGCCACTGTGTTCTTTCTCTTAGGCCCAAATTCAACTTTAACTTACCTAGAGTAAATGTTCTAATAGTGGGTCTCATTGCCCTGACCCTGAAAGAGCCTCCCATAAGGCACCGTTGGGAAGGAAGAGTAAGGAGAGGCTGGTAGAATCTCAGTGCTGGGACGAATGGAGACGTTACTGGGGCCCGCTCGAGCAAATCAATGAACAACAGGATGACAGTGACAGAGTAGATATCTTAGAGTGTTCATGGAGAAGATGTATCTAGGATTAGAGATGTGGAGGGGGCAAGGCACTTGCCATACCTGCTTCTAATCTCACTTCGGTTTCTGGCACCACATGTGGTCCCATGAGTACCTCTAGAAGGAAGCCCTGAGCGAAGGAATAAGGAGTAGGCCCTGAGCAGCTTCGGGTATAGCCCAATTCTCCCCCATCACAAAATGTTTTTAAAGATGATGATCAAAACTCCTTGGCCAGCAGAGGGGAGAAAAAGTTATAAAAACATCCTTAGCCTAGTAAAACATTTCTCAGTCAGGGTCCGACCTCAGATGAAAATAACATAAATGGTAGGCCATAGCGTAAGACCAAGGGGCCAACATATTGATGATGGGGGCTATACAAAATGGAAACGAGTCCATTGGAAAAACAACCCAGAATAACAATTTGATTAATTCAACAGTATTTATTACATGTTCAACGAGTGGCTCGAGAGAGGTGAAGAGGTTTGCTTCGTACACAGTTTTGTCCTTAGCACAGCATATCTTCATCACCAGGAGTGACCCCCGAGTACAGAACCAGGAGAGACCGCTACCCCCTCCTCTCCATGTTAACGGAGTGTTGGGTTGTGTAGGTTCTGAGGTTGCTGTGGTGAACAGGCAGGTGCGATTCCTGCTCTTCCAGAGCTTACCTTCTTTGAGAAAGCTTATCATTAGCATGGAATCAAAATGATGAAGGAGATGCTGATGAATTCACACAGGAAATCAAGAGGCGATGCCCAGGAGGGCCCTGTGTCAGCCTGGGATGTCAGGGAAGGCCTACAGCCTGGAGAGTGAGAATGCACCAGCCATGCTGGCAGCTGGTTCACGGGCTTTGAAGGAGATGGGATTTACTCAGTGCCAGAGGCCAGCGGCTAGTACTTTCTTGTGTCTTTTCACCTCTCTTGGCGTGTGTCTTAGAACCCCGATGACTGAGAACAGACTCAGGCCTGTGGCTCTCTATTCTCAATGTCCCTTTGAAGCCAACTTGCCAGTCATTTCAGTCACCTCCGGGAATTCACACTAAACACCCTGACTCAAGATCCTTTATATTAGGTGGGCACCCCAGCCTGGATATAGCACCACAGCAAACCCATTGACTGGACCCACTTTGAAATTTATGGAGTCCTTATGCTGCTGAACAGTGGCATAGGAATGCCCTGATCCTCCTTGCCCACGCTCACTTCACTCCAGACTGTCCCTTGTCCCTTCCCCAGCCCCCACCCACTTCCTCTGATGTAGTTCTTCCCACACTAGAAAGATGCTTGATTCAGCAAGTCCACATGACCTGTGGTGCACTGCATCCAAGTGTGTGCAGATGCCACAACAAAATGCGTGTAACCCCAGTGAATACCATAACCAACTGGGGGAGCACTGCAAATCCTGGTCATTACAACAGTGAAAAGGGAAGAGAAAGGGAAAATGAATGAACATTCACAGCATCAAGTAAGGCATAAGCACATCCATCCGCATAGTCCTAGACAGGGTCAGAACCAGCAATCTCATTGTTTTCCACCTTCACAGCTGTTCTTCTCACTGGCGTGTCTGCAGAGGAAGAATCTCACATGGAGTTGTCATCTGCCATCCCTTGGGACAGCAATAGCTTCCTCTGGAATGTGTCTTGTAGGACCTGCCCGCAGCTCTATTTCAGGTGGTCTAAGTACTTATGATTTTGGTTTTTTAGTCACATCTGGCAATGTTCAGGGCTTACTCCTGGCTACGCACTCAAGATTTACTCCTGGTACTGCTCATGAGACCATATGGGTTGCCCCAGGGATTGAACCTCATATTGCTCACGGAATAATCTAGCTCTGTGGTCTGGGATTACTCCCAGCAGTGCTGAGTGAACCATGCAGTGCAAGACTAAACCCAGACACAAAGCCTGCACTCCAGCTCTTCGTTCTATAGCCGTGTTTTGGGGGGCTTTCTTCATTTCTATTTTCGTCGGGGAAGCAGACTGGAAATACTCAGAGGTTACTCCTGGCTCTGTAACTCAGGAACAACTCTGAGCAGTTCCTTGGGGACCAAATGCTCTATCCACTGCACTATCACTCTAGACCCAAGGAAGGTCTTATTCTCAGAAATATGCACACAGGGTTATCGTGGCTAGTTTTTTATTCCAGCAAAGATTTGGTCCTAAGTATATAATGCGCTATGAACATTCATTCAATTGGTGGTGGGAACCATGACTTCAAACTTTGGCTTTTGATTTGAGGTCACACCTATTAGTTCTCAGGAGCTACTTCAGGTTTGGTGTGAAAGGTTGTTGCTGGCAGTGTTCATGGGACCACAGGGTACTGAGCATCTAACCAGGGACTTCAGTTTTCAAATCCTGTTTTCAAACTCTGGCTTTTGAGAACTATTCTTAGTTTCTTATTGGAGGAGTGGTGGTATCTCTCTCTCTCTCTCTCTCTGTCTCTCTCTGTCTTTCTCTCTCACTGTCTCTTTCTGTTGGGGCCGGACTAGATGGTGAAGATGAGTCCGTGTAGAAGAAACAAGCTCTGTACAGACTACATGCTCAGCTTAGAAAGAAAAAGAAGCTCTACCTGACCAGTTTGACTTCAAGATGTATATTACCTTTGCATTCAAGGAGAAGAAGAAAAAATCAGCAGGTTTTGAAGTGTCTGAGGTCAAACCAGTCATGACGAATAATTATAAGAAAATATCCTAAAAGGTGTGCGAGATTCCAGCTATTCCTTGGAAAGTTCCATAGAGCTTTTAAAGGAGGATGTGGTCCAGCTTCCTGCTCCTCGATACCAGTCTGTGAGAAGGGATGTCATTGACTGTACTCAGGAGATGTATTTCATTCTGTGGCCTTAGAATGTTATTGAAAAAAATTGTCTGTCTACTGTTTTCTAGGTGGAAGGAATCTGATGAGCCTTTTCGTCTCGTTCATGCCAAATTTGAGTTTCATCACTGTGACTATGAAAAACACTTTCTGCATGTACTGAGCCACAAGGACAAGACTGGAATTGTTGTCAACAATCCCAACCAGTCAGTGTTTCTCTTTATCGACCAACAGCATTTGCAGACTCCAAAAAATAAAGGTAATATCTTCAAGTTATGCAGCATCTGCCTCTACCTGCCACAGGAACAGCTCACCCACTGGGAGGTTGGCACCGTAAAGAAACACCTGCATCCTTCCAAGCCAGAATAGAGTCTGGGCCAGCACAGTGGAGAAGATCAGAGTGCAGCAGGAGATCTTGTCTTGTTTTCTTACCACTTTATTCTTTCAGAGATTAAAGAAAATGGACTCATGCACAGAACACTCTGCATTTTGAAACTTGTTCATCCTGATTTCTTTTTAAATCATTTGTATCTCAGAACTGAAAAAAATTAGCTGTCTTCTGCACAGACTGTGTGAAAGAAGACTTTGCATATTTGCTGCACTGTATCAGCATCTTGTTAAAAATGTCAAATGAAAGGACTATTGTACACCGAAATGCTTCAATGTATTTGAAAGCACAAGGTGATACTCTTTTTGACGGTCTTTCCATTTGAGCTGGTTTTTGCCTCTTTGACATCTGTCATCAGCATTTAGAGGGTAAGAAGTACATGTAGGAGAATAAATAATTTTTACAAATGCAATAGCTTTGCTATAATCACCGTTGATCCAGAACACTGTCAGATTCAATCTAATGACCAGAAGTAGTTGTTCTAAAAAGAAAATACAACCACGGAAAAGAAATCTTAAATGAAAAAAGCATCTCATTGCAGGTATTCTAGCCTCATTTTACTGGGCCAGGATTGTTTAAAGAAAAAAAAAAAACCAGACGAGTCCAAGTAGACTATCCCACTAACGGTCAGGAATACAGGGAACCATGAAAATGGGCGAGACAAGACGTGTGTGTCCAGATTGGTTTCAATGAGGCTCAACATCTCTTTCTTTAAGCTGCCCTAAGTAAAAAACCTAAATCTTAGTATAGCAGAAGAGTCAGTCTTTTCTCATAGACCAGATGACACCAGACCCACTTGACACCAGATGCTTGAGGTTGTAAATAACAGGCAAGAACATTTGGCTGTGTTTCTTTCCTGAGGGCTGAAACTAACTGGCTTGTGAACATAATCAAACAATGTATGTCATAATGCCCCCGCTTAGGGGACGTGGCTAGGGGCCAGTTGGTGGGGGCGGGAGGGGGAAAGCGCTGTTGCTCTGGCCTTTAAAGGTCAGCGGGAAGGCGGGTGGGGCAGGCCTGGCTGGGACTGCGGGCTCACGCTCCCCACCTCCCGGGTCTCACGCTGAGGCGGGCTCCGTGTCCTGCGTGCCTGTGCAGACTGCGTCACGGGCGTTGACCGCCGACCGCTGGTGGTGGCTCCTTGGAGACTGCCCGGCTCCTGCACGCCACCTCCGAGGCCCTGGGCTGCGCCCGCCATGCCAAAATGCTGCTCGGTGGCTTGTGCTTGGGGCCCACCTGGATGCTGAGCGTGTGGGCGGGCGCTCAGAGCAGGTGAGGGGCGGGCATGGGGGGGGGGTCCTTGCCAGCACGTGGGGCCCAGCTGGACGCTGAGCGTGTGGGCAGGCGGTGTGGGCAGGCGCGCTGAGCAGGTGAGGATTTGAAAGGATCCTATGTATTTCCCAGTTTCCTTCTGGGAATCAGAGCAAAAAGCTGTTTGCTAGTTCTTAGAATTGGAATAATCTGCAGAACTCAACACCGCCAGTTAATAATAGTGCCTAGATAGTCTGTGTGCTTTTCTGGAGGCAGTGTTTCTGAGTTGCCTCCTCCGTAAGACCTGAGCAATGCTGGGTGTGCCCCTTCCCCCCCTCAAAAAAAAAACCCACAACAGCAGTAATAATAATCTGATGTCAATTGTAGTCAAGGATATTTTCATCAGGCTTTTATATACTCGAGTTTTATTCTAGTTAAGTTTCTGAAAGGCCCTGCTGTAGAAAGACTTGGTAAAGCTTGCCTACTTGAGTCTACCACACGTTAAGGGTGTGCTTCTGTAGATCCCTTTTTAGGGTGATTCATTTGAGAAGCTTCACCCTCACCAGCAAACAGGTGTCTTAATTGGTAAAGGTCAGAAAAAGGCGTCTGATAGGTTGCGTTATAACGGTAACATTATTCAGCAAATTTTTGTGGGTCTTTGGTCACCCTTAAGAATGTCTTCGGGTGGCCTGAAATTCAGTGTTTGTCTAAGGATGATGACTTTCCTCATCTGAAAAATGTCTGAGCTCTCAGAGGGTTTAACTTGACAAGGGAGATGTCCTCGGTTCCGATGACAGCCCAGAGAAGTTCTAGCCTGTGATTCGGTTAATTCAGCAGTGGAGGAGGACCGTGTTAGATGAGTTCACGGTATGGACCCATGTTCAAATGCTCTGAAAAACATCGCATTGCTGTCTCAATGACAGCTCCCTGTCAGAGACCTCCACAACAAGCACTTGAGTTGCCTGAAGTGCCTCACAGCGCTGGGATAGTCCTTTAGGAACAGGAGCAGAGAGCTTTCATCAGCAAGCTGTGTGAAAGTAAAACAGACTTCACAAATGGCAGTGATTGCTAAATGTCCCCACATGGCTGTGACCATGACTTCAGGGAGTTGTGGCAGGTGTTATACTGAGGCCTTACAATGATGTCCTTGCTATTTCCTGTATGGTGGGAGTTTCCCTTCCTCTAGGAGTGGAGACGTGCCTTTGATTTGTGGTGTCTCCTTCTGAGTTCAGTTTTGGAAAGAAAAAAAATGACTCTAAAAGAACATATTTTTGCACACACACACCCCAACACTATTTCTTTGACTCCCCAAGTTCTAAAAACAATTATTTGAAAGAACCTTTTCAAATGAGTAAAAGGTCTGCTTCCTTTTCCAGTTCAGAAGATAAAGTAACATTGTCTACGTTATAAAGCATGATGGGGAAACATGAACGTCAAAGGAAAAGTTGGTGACTCCTTTCTGGATGTTGTGGCTGAAGATCATTTAAAGATTGATGATTTGGGTGAGTCTGGAAGATTCCTGAACTTTTATAAGTGAGCTATTGCAGTGGGTTCAAATTTTTTTCCAAGAATTTTAACTGACAACATGCTAAGCAAAGTATTAAAATTCAAGATGTGCAAGTACATTTCCATTGATAAAGAATGATAGTAATACAAGCTTAATGAACTGTAATTAAATGTAGAAAGTTAGATCTACTTAATCTCACATTTAGAAAACAACACATCAACAATGTTTTTTACACCACAGCTCTTTGTAACAGCAAAGGACTTGAAACAAGTACGTGCCCATCAATGGAGAACTGATGTAGTTCAGTCGTACAGCATTATACTATTGTTCTAAGGAGTATTTAGTAGAAGTATCAGTGGTTATCCATAGGTAGGCTGGGAACACGAGGGAGATTTTCTTGTAAAACTTTTTAACATTTTTCTCCAAGTGTAAGTAGGCTACCTATTTTCAAGTGTATTTAAAGAAAAGAAAAAGAACTTGAAGGCTAAGTCTTCCTGGATGATCTCATCGGTAGATCATCCAAGGTAAGGAATAGACAGTGTTCACTGAAAATAGACCCATAGACTCTGATGACAGAACTGAGATTACCAAGGGTGCAGGGCATAGGAGGGAAGGTTCCTGTGACCCAAGAGAGGCTGTCCTTGTGGTGGTGGGGATGGTGTGGTGATACACAGTGACTTAAATTCCATGTTTTTAGTTGCTTTCAGCTTTTCCGATGACTTGAAAAAAATATTGGAAGGAGTCGTTTCCAAACATTCGATATTGGTTGTCTCTTTTTAAACCTCTTCATTCCACTCTTCTTTCCTTTGGCCCTGAATGCATGGAAGTGGCCTGTCTCTGTGACCGCCGAGCTGTGCTAATTCACTTCTGCTCTTGAGCCTAGTGATTAGGGTGATTGGTCCTATCATCAGTCACAATTGTCCCTGATCCCCTAAGTAGCTTCCTACTTCCCTGAGGATAAAAGATACATGATTTGGTTCCCTTTGCTCTTCCTCCCTTCTCCTTTTCTCCTTTCTCTCTTCCCCTATCCCCCATTGCGGAGGGGGTGGGGTTTGTGTCACACCTGGCAGTATTCAAGGATTACTCCTGGATCTGTGCTCAGGGATCCTGCCCTGCAGTGTGTGGGGAATCCAGTACTGTGTGCAAAGCAAGTGCTTGCACCTCTGTACTACTCTCAGCCTCTCTCTTTCTCTCTTCGTTCTTTATTCACGCGTTGGCCACCTGCTTTTTCTCAAGCACTGCATTGAATTCAACCCACATTTCCACCTTTGGGACTTTCCATCAATTTGACATTTCTTTCTGCCTGGGTCATTTTCTCTCTCTGACCTGAAAATCCTGCAAGTGTTGCTTTTCATCTTTCTAGTCTCAATTTACATGCTCCTTTTGACATGGCACTTTTCCCAACGCCCTCGTATAAAATAGGATTTCTTACCCCTTTTTCTTGTTTAAAACGTCCAGGTCCTCTCTCATCCCATTGATGACCAGCTGTTTCTTTGTTTCTGTTTCTCTCTGCCAGTAGACTTCTTTGGAGAATAAAATAATCCTCATTTTACTTCACATTGTATATGGAGTGAAGTATGTATAAACCAAAAGGACAGGTGTAAATTTAGGATGCAGTGCACATTTTTAACATCGATTAAAAATGTGGGCAAGTTGTGGGCGGGATTAAAGATAAATTAAAATAGATTAAAAATGCGGGCAAGTTGTGGGTGGGACATTCAAAGTAAGAGAATGCCCTGGAACCCAGTGCATCGTTGCTGATCGGAAAAAATGCCCTGGTACCTGGATGCCAGAGCCATGCTTGTATGAGCTCATGGTCACTGGGATACTCTCTGGAAAAGGCTGGACGGGAGCACCTAGCCCATCTGGGACCTCCTGGTGATATCGGCTCTGTTTGGGGCCTGGAGCATTCTCCGGGAGCTATGGGGCCCTTCAGCTGGTTTTCTTCTTTGTTGCTGTGTGTTGTAAGATGGTGTTGGGGGCTAGTCGTGGGCATGACTTCCAGAATCAGAGGTTGCCTGGGAGCCGAGGCGGCCCCTTTGCAGTTCGGAAAAAAAGTCCTGGTACCCGCATGCCAGACCCATGCCTATAGGAGCTCATGGTCACCGGGATTCCCTATGGAGAAGGCAGGACGGCAGCACCTACTCCATCTGGGACCTCCCAGTGATATCTGCTCCGTTTGGGGCTTGAAGCATTCTCTGGGAGCTGTGGGTCCCTATACCGGGTTTTCTTCTTTTTTGCTGTGTGGTGTAAGATGGCCCTGGGGGGCGAGTTGTGGGCGTGACTTCTGGAAGCAGAGGTTGCCTGTGACCGGGGCAGCCCCATTGCAGTTCGGAAAAAATGTCCTGGTACCCGCATGCCAGAGCCATGCTTGTAGGAGCTCATGGCCACCGGGATTCCCTCTGGAGAATGCGGGACGGCAGCACCTAACCCATCTGGTACCTCAGGGTGATGTTGGCTCTGTTTGGGGCCTGGTTCATTGTCTGGGAGCTGTAGGCCCACCGCCGTTTTCTTCTTTCTTACTGTGTGCTGTACGATGGCGCTGGAGGGGCGAGTTGTGGGCACAACTTCCGGAATCAGAGGTTGCCTGTGACTGGGGTGGACCCATTGAAGTTCTGAAAAAATATCCTGGTACCAGTTTGCCAGAGCTATGCTTGTAGGAGCTCATGCTCACCGGGTTCCCTCTGGAGAAGTGGGACGGCAGCACCTACCGCATTGGGGAC